GCGAAAGGTTGTTCACGATGTATGCTTTGGCATCATGCACTATATAAAAAAATTCACAGCACATTACAGTTTAGGTGCCTATTCGGTTGAGGGCCGACCCCCCCCCCCCCCTTCACACCCCAGCTTGGATTAGGTCCCTCAACCTTGGAAAGAAAGTGGTCAAAATCTACAGACAACCTGTTTGTTGGCATATTTGGGGCAACTTGTGTCATGTTTGCGCCCCAGTCCCCAGCCTTTCACTCCCAGTCAGTCCCGCCTCAGTCCTCCAGCCGCTCGCTCCCAGTCAGTCCCACCTTAGTCACCAGCCTTTCGCTCCCAGTCAGTCCCACCTCAGTCCTCCAGCCGCTCGCTCCCAGTCAGTCCCAGCTCAGTCCTCCAGCCGCTCGCTCCCGCTCGGTCGCGGCGGCCAGCCGTTGCTCACCTGTCCTTGGTCGGCATGTACATGTGCATGACGTCCGCCGTGTCCAGCTGGACGCTGCTGATGCGGCCTCGCTGCTGGCGATTGAAGGCCTGCAGGTGGCCCCAGGACTCCTCCAGCGAGGTCATCCGGCCGGCGCCGCCCGTCAGCCCTGCCGGACGGACGCAGCAGGTCATCAGTGGCGTTACCGCCTGGTCTGGGGGCGGCCGCAGGTCACCAGCACCGGCCTCCGGTCCAGGGGCGGCTACAGATCACCAGCACCTGCCTCCGGTCCGAGGGAGACCGCAGGTCACCAGTGCCGGCCTCCGGTCCAGAGCAACCGCGGGTCACCAGCGCCGGCCTCCGGTCCAGGGGTGGCTGCAGGTCACCAGCACCAGCCTCCGGTCCGAGGGCGGCTACAGGTCACCAGCACCGGCCTCCCATCCAGGGGCAACCATAGGCCATCAGCACCGGCGCCCGGTCCAGGGGTGGCTGCTGGTCACCAGCACCAGCCTCCGGTCCAGGGGTGGCTACAGGCCACCAGCACCGGCCTCCGGTCCAGGGGTGGCTGCAGGTCACTAGCACCTGCCTCCGGTCCGGTTCGGTTCAAATGCTCATAGACCCGGACTAACGGTCGGATCCGCTTGGATCCACATTTTTTTATGATCCGGGATGTTGGCGACTCGGGTCACGCTCCCCCACTCTCCCGACGTCGGAGTCCATGAATGGTGTTATAATCATCCTTCCTGGATGGCTGCCCTGAACAACATTACCCATCAGCTCTGGAACAACGTTGGCAACGGCGTTAACCCTCATCAGGCCGTACGTCATACGTAGTGATACACCCGCTAAATGCAGTCCCAAGACCTTCAATATTGCAGCTTCCGATACTGCAGACATCATTCACATCGATTATGTGAACAGCCACGCCTTCCAAACGTGCCTGTCAGAAGCCAAGCCAGCGGCAGACCGAGGTCGTTAGTGAGCTTCATCACTCCGGTTCGGGTCTTACCGGGGCTGGAGGCCATGGGCGAGATGGGAGGCTGCGACGGCAACGTGTCCAGCCAGTCCTCCGGTATCACCTTCGGCGAGTTGAGTCGGCCGCTGGACGAGTCTGCCGGACGGCGGCAGCGTTAGCCAGCGCGCAAGGGTTTGTCCGTGAAGGTGGTTGACAAACAGAGTGTGGAGTGGTTGGATGACAAGCAATTGGCAGAGGAGCTGTGGTGTCTTGTGGCAGATGAAGGAAGATTGCGTCGCCTAACACCACGACACATGAGTTTCCCATCGCCAGTGCAAGGATTTTGTTACGCTTGCACGCTGCTAATATATTTAACCATTATTTCAGTCAGCAAATTGTTTCTTTGGATCGGCAGGAGCCGCAGGGATTTATGGCTCTAAAACTCCTGTTCATAACTGCCTGGGCTGTCAAGCTGACGCTAAGAAATATGACCCGTTTATTTGCTCGTTGCAAAGCACCCGACAGGCTACCATCCGCACTTCCCGCCGCTGTTTTGGGTCACGTCACGTCATTAACGCCAAGCCTGTCTCCGGCGGAGCGCTTCGCTGGAACCTGCGGCGCATCCGTGACTTGTGCCGTGTCCGAGGCCTTCGTGACGCCGGCTCTGGACCCGCCCAGGCGCCCGGCGCAAGCCCGCGGGCACCAGCACATCGATACGCTGCCCGGCGCGGTGCACAGTGGGCCAGGCCCACAGGGCGGGACCCAAGGCGCCCGGCGCACAGCGGGACCGGCTCGGCGGCTTGTGAGGCTTTCGGTGAACCGCGGGGGCTCGGCTACCCAACTAGTGAGCAAAGCGAACACATTGATCTGCATAAAACCAAGTGCCTCGCCTTGCTCTTTGGGTAATGAACAGGAGACAATTCTATCGTCATGCTTATGCAACATAATTTCACAGAATGTGGCATAAACGTGTGACAGCTTCTCACGACAATTAATCATCCTCGTGAGTGTCCACATGACAAACGTCTTCTGATTCTTTTCCTACGAAATAGTGTTGACCAAAGACACATAAATAATCAGCACTGACACACTCGCAAACATAAACCAGTTGATGTTGTCCCGAGTCGTAAAAAGATAGATTAACCCACGGTCAGATCTGACGATTACAGACCTGTCTGGTACAGACCTGTCGGGTACAGACCTGACGAGTACCAAACTGACGAGTACAAACGTGACGAGAACAGACCTGACGGATGCAGACCTGGCAAGTACAGACCTGACGAGCACAGACTTGACAGGTGTACGACTGACGGGCACATACTTGACGAGTACATGCCTGGCGAGAACATACCAGACGACTACAGGCCTGACAAGTACAGACCTGACGGGTACAGACCTGGCGAATACAGACCTGACGAGCGCATGCCTAATGGTTACAGACCTGAGTACAACATACCTGACGAGTGCAGACCTGAGGCGTACAAATCATACAGACCTGACGAGTACAGACCTGAGGAGTACACATCATGCAAACCTGACGAGTACAGGCCTGAGGAGTACAAGTCAAACAGACCTGACGAGTACAGACCTGAGGGGCACAAACCATACAGACCTGACGAGGCGGTGCCCGTGTTGCGGGAGCTGTCCGGGGTCTTCGGCGTTCCGAGCGCGCGCCGTCCGAACCTGGCGGAGCCCTCCCGCCGCGGCCGGTCCGCCTCTAAGCCCTCGTCTCCTCTGGAACAACATCAACTTGGGGACTGGAGAGCTATCGGAGTCGCGTGCTTTCATGTGAACGGGGTTTGAAGATTTGCGACTGGTGTGTTATGTAATGTGGACAAATTTACACCCAATGCCTTCCAGTGTCGGACAGCAGGGCGGGTGTTTAAGTAGGGCTACACGAGTTGGCAGCCAAAGACCGCACCGGGCACGCCAACACTAAGCCGATCGCTTGGACTCGTCTGAATCCACCTGCAATCGATCCTTGCCGTCATTTATGAGTTACATGGCCGTTTGTAGTGAGTTTCCACCTGTTACTTCCGAAAACCCTCAAAACGCGTGAAAGGCTCGCACACACAACGGAGGCGACGTTATGGCGGAACTTTGCGCTTGCAAGGCGTCATTAACATATGCTCAAGACTTCCAAAAGCGATATCTCTTTTATGGCTTAATCTGGTTTTCCCAACCAGTTTTGCGAATGGCCGCAGCTGACCTGCGCGTCACATGCCCAGGCCATTTCTGCCCGGCATGCCTCCCGTCCTGTCTGACGTCAGCAATTCGCCGCGCGATGAACGAATTGCGCTCTGAATGGGTACAGCCTGAAATGCGACACGCGCTTCTGTGCGCCGTCCAAGGCGGCTCGGGGAAGCTCGCGCCATGACCACCCAAAGAACGACGGGAGCGGGGCGCGCTGTGGGCGCCGCCCTGCCATTTACGGTTGGCACCATGCCAACCGCCGCACCAACACGACACTTCACCATGTCACGGCAGCATTAGCGGGCTACTCACGGACCTGGCGCCGTGACTGACCGCTGGGACCGGCCTTGTTCGGCAGACGTGTATGAGGTCTACTTCTGCATCCAGGTGTGGTGACGGATGCCTAGTCCGCTGGTTTTAACAGCGCACGTAAGGCGGAGTTATGAGCGTAACTCACAGCCTGGCTTCCTCCTTTTCACACCGTAAGCTCCATACAATGACCCTTGAATGCCCGTAACCCAAAGAGATTTATGTTTCAGAAACCAGGCCTCCTTGTTTCTCCTCCTCTGTTCTCCCTCCCACGGTCGCCTGTGACTTCATGGGCTGCCTCGTTGACCTGTGCTTACCTTCCCCCTCCCTCGCTCCAGCCTGCCTACACTTTACCAGCCGAGCCGTTATCAGGTCCGAGCCAGCCGCCGCGGCGGCCGCGCGGCCAGTGCCGTCACCACAGCGGAGGATCGATTCCGTCCTTAATTACAGGGCCATCGCGGTCGCTCAGCTAATCAATGGACACGTAAGTCCGGATGCGCCAGCGGTGGCGCGGCACTTGGGACCGTACAATCCGCAATTGGGACGCCGCGTTAAAACACCCAGCATGATGCCGTTGTGCAGCCTGTTCCGCGATTCCTGAAGGGGTCGCAATATCTAGCCTCGTCGAGCGAATGGAGCAGGGCTGGCATGACCTGAGCAGGTGTCCCGGTCGTAACGTACAGTTGGCGCGCCGGCGGCACCCATCGGGGGCAGTGGGCTACCGGGCGCCGACGGCCCACGACCGGCCAAATGGCGCGCACGTTACAGGAACAAGGGCACGGAAGTGAGGTCAAGGCACATCGATTGAGCGGGGCGCTGTGATATGGATCTTGACCTGTGCTCTGCTGAAGTAAAGAGGGGATGTCAGAGGGAAAGGAAATAGTTAAAAGGAACGGCTAGGCCTACGGAAGCAGTGTTCGTATTTAACTTCTTTTCAAGCGGGCAGAATATCCTTATTACGAAAAGCAGCTGATGTCACAAAAAGCAGCTGGTGAAAAGTAGTTTTTAAAAGCGCCGCAAGGAGTACCCGGCTTCCGGAATGATGACGCTTTTGAGCGTTGTTTTTGTCTCCAATGCTATGGACTAAAACGCTTTAATAATTAAGTGCAGTGCAGTCTGATGATGCCAGCTCGCCACCTCGTCCGTAGTTAGGCCAATGCATGGCATAAGTTTGCCACGTAAAAAAGAAAACCCCTGGGAAGAATATAAGTACCATATTGGTAAGAAGGATGTTTCGCTATGCCGTAGATGCTTAACTAAAAACGTTTCAATGGCCTCAACCTCTTTAAGAGATAGACAGCTGCCGCTATTGAACTGCTGTTGTTTTGATGGGTTGGGTCCTACAAAAAACCTTTCCAATTTCACTTTTCCTAAGTCGAGAGAAATTAGAGCTAAATGCAGCTGTTTTCAACACCTGGTACAAGTGAGACAGGCCTTGAGCTCCAAGCTGTTCGAAATCATGAGTCTTGGATTTATTATGCTAAAAAGAATTTACCTTTAATTTAACAGGAGGTAGTTGCAACGGCGTCATCAGGTAAACACTGGCTATACTGTTGAAACCAAATAAAGTTTTAACATCATATACTGTAACCAATCTTTGCTTGATAACATCGTTGAACCATTTCCTCCTGGCATCCTGAAGGCCGCCATCCAAGCTCACAACGCTTGAAACAGCACATTCAATTTTGTCAATTTTGCGTCGTTAGCCGTCGATAATAGCACTTTGGACTTGATGTGAACACCTCAGTGGAGCTCTTCACCTTACAATGAGCCCATGCTAATGCCAGCACATGGCATGATTTTTTTTGAGACACAAAGAGGACGTCCTTGGCAAAACTACAATTGGCGATCAGTTAGGAGACCATGACGCATATATCTGTACATGTGACTAAAAAATCGTTCGATAATACCTATCCCTTGCAGGAGGGAAACGAAATAATCTGCGTTTTAATTCATAGGTATAACAGTGCTAGAAGCAAAGCGCAATTACATCTGAACTAGTGGAGTATTGCTTCACGGCCTTTCTCGTGATTTCATTATTTATGTAAAACACTTAGATAAATGAGGCAGCCCCTCGTGGCAAGCGGCGAGGTTTTCATAGCTCCAGGTGATCTCATCAAGTCGACCAAGCCGCGGCGGTGGCGTAGCCTCTTAAGAGTCGGACAGAAACAGACCACTTGTCAGAAGTCGCTTCTCATGCAATACGGTAGGCTTGGAGTCAATCGAGACCCAAGCCTGGAGGGCTACTCCCCTCCCCGTCCCTGATCCGCCGCCCCTGCTAACCCGACTGACCGCGAAGAGCGGCGGCTGCCAGGGGTCAGGTCGAGGTCAAGGTCATCGGACCGGTGTCGGCCGCAGCCGGAGCTGGTGCGCAGGCGGCCGGGTCCTGCCAGGTCCAGGTCCAGCACCCGCGGCGCCGGCTCCGCCGTGCGCATGGACGCCCGCTCCTGGGACGACGATCGGGAGGTCCTGCCGACGGGAACAGCGGAGCGTCACCGTCGCCATCCTGCGGGTGACGGGGTGGAAGGCCTGGCCTTGGTGCAAACGCCTCCCAGCGTTTTGATAATGCGATCATACTTGTGGTCTTGAGTGGAGAGAGGTGGGAATTGGAGGCATTGTCTTTTAATATCTCTTACGTTCGTGTACAAGCGTTTCACCACTCCCTCCCCCTCTCTCCCTCTCATTCTCTTTTTCTCTCTTTCTCCCTTTCTCTGTTGCCCTCACTTTTTCTCTTCCTCGACCCCTTTCATTTCACTCCTCCTTTTAATTATTCCTTTCGCCCAGACCCTAGCCTTGTTTACCATCTATGTCTTGTTGTTGCACACGGCCTACTTGTCCTCACCTCTCACACTTGACCATCGAGTCGAACCATTTTGGCACATTGTTCATGCTGCTGGAGCTGGAGACCGTCTGCCTCTCATCGGAGAACACCTGGTGAGCACAAGCTGGGTCAGTGTGGAGACAGCGTGGGGAAACCATCTGCACTCCACCATCTTTTTCTGTTCTGTGACGTTTGACGAACATTGAGGTGTTGTGTGCATGACGGTGGTGCTTGTTATGCGCGAACATCCACATCAGACAAGTCTCTGAAATGAAGGCAATGTTAAATCACCGCCCATCCCGGCTGCCTTTAAGTCGTTTGAGCATGCTTTCTTTGAACCGTTGATATCTTCACATCTTAAGATCTGTAACGTTTGATAGCTGCTGTTCCTATTGATTGAGCTCTGCACTGTGAACGGGTCGTGCTAACCACCTGACGATCGGTGAACCCGAGACGGGTTCAAAACCGGTTGTGCGAATAAACATAGCCACTTTGCATCCCGTCTTTACTGAGCACTAAAAATTTTAGACACGCTTTTACTCAGCAGCAGGGCACCTTCCGCCAGCCACGGGAGCCCCATGTTCGTGCACTGACCTGGAGGCTGTCCATCTCCGACGTCATGGCCTGGACGGGCGTGGTGCCGTTCCAGCTGGACCTGGGCCGCGCCTCTAGGCTGTCGGCCCTTGCCCAGGACGCTGGCTGCCGGAGAGACGGTACTGTAGATGGGGGCGGGGATCAGGAGGCCCCGACAGGCCCCGACGGTACCCTCCGAGGTGCGTCCACAGCGGCGACCGTCTGGGGAGGGGGCTTACCCTTTTCGCTGTCATTGTCCGGATCTAATCGAATCTAATCGCCAGAATGAAGCAAATCCTACCGGCATTTTACAGCCACGACAGTTGCTCGTAAAATGCTGTATAGACTTTTATCCATTTCAGCCGGGTCAAGTAATGTTCACGCTCTGCGCTGGTACCGAGTGCCACCTCGTAACGCCCATTCCCAAGAACGCAGGGCGCAAATTATGCAAAAATATGCGTTAGTCATTTCACTATCAATTGTAAAGGCATGTGTCGAACACTCGTTGCACCAAGTGCGTTTGTAAATGCCACGCCATTGCGGTAAACTGTTGCTTTGGTATGATTCTTCGTCAACAGAAATCTAGGTTCCGTCCGAAAAAAGCTCCACTTTTACAAAAAGGGCAAAAGCCGCCAACGTCTTAAAAGATGTTCCATTGAATGTCACGCTCACGTTTGTCATTTCAGGCATCGGAATCCCAGAAATTGCAGCTCTCAGCTAAGTGCCTAAGTGTTTGGTCAGTGTGTGGGGAACACTTATGGCATAACTGAGTCACACGTCCAAAACCTGCAATGCATATGATGGGCTACGCGCTCCATCCACAAGAGGCAAACAGTCACGAACACAATTTCATTTCACTGACAGCTGACCAATCATTGGTCCAGCAAGCCAACCTCGGAGGCTTGAATTCAACAGCGAACCTGGCGTCAAAATCGATGTGTGGAGCGGACGTGTTTTCGCGGATGGTGCGCTCCAACCCTGTTATTTCTGCTCGCCAGCGCCATTTTGAAAACATGAGTGCTCGTGTGAATGCGTGTTTTCGAAATGCGAGTTTTCGAAAACAGAGCGGTGCGGTGGTGCGCGCCGAGTACGTTTGTTGGAGTGGCAGTTGCGTGCATCTGATATGTGATGATCCATATTCCAAATCCGTGTTTTGAATGCATACATTTTCGCCGGTGCCTGCTCATATACAGCAACATTCTGCTTTTAGTTGTTCTTAAGATGCGGGCGAGTGCTACACAAATGATGTCCCTTTTCAGCCCACATACAAGAGAAATAGTGACAAACACGGTCGCTGTTTTTTGTTTTTGTTGTTTTTTTTATCAACTTAGCGCTGTGCGCAGCAGCTTATCAGCTATTCCGCCCTTCGTAAGTGGGAACTGCACGCTTTTTCGGCGTTCTAAGTGTCTTATTTTGAAACGTAAATGTTTTGTTGCTCCAACTAGCTCATGTAATATATGCTTCAAAGCCCGTCGTGCAAAGAGATATCCTCAAAGCGTTTTCCTGAAGTAAGACGGAGGGGGGGGGGGGGATTCAAACGCTGTGTCCGATCCCAGATAGGCATTTACCTAAGCTACCCCAAATGTGGATTTCCCACGCCGTGAGAGTTTGTCTTCTAACTTAACTTCTCTCCTGTGAAGGTGTTTTCTCCTAACTTAAGCTGTCAGAAAATTGTTAAAAATGTATGATATAATAAGTTAAAACAATTATGTCCGATCCCAGACATGCATCCACCTAAGCTACCCCAAACGCGGACTTCCCGCACAGTGGCGGCGTGCTGGCCTAACCCAACTTTTCTCATGTTAGGGTACGTTATCAAAACTAAGCTTGACATGGTAAGAAAAAAAATAGTTTTTTTCTGATGCACTCGGTTATCAGTATCACACACGCGCCATCTTGCTGCGACAGAAATGCTGCGCCGCAATCGTTAGACTATCCCACGACATTGCACGGACGTGACGGTGCGGCACAGAACTATCATCAAACGCTTGAAAAAACAGAATTGGATTATTTTGCCCTGACACGATGGCGGTGACTGACGCTATTTCCGATGCATGGATGCCGGACTAAAGCTTGCAAGGTTAGATAAGTCCCTATTGCCTTCAGCATCGATCAGTGCGCATCAAGAACGCGTGTGTATATCGTTACGCCTCGCAAAAATGACACTAATAGATGCCTCCGATCCCATAAATGTCACCAGAAATCATGCCGGTTGCGCTGCAGGGCACAAGTCATTGCCGGCGTGTCAACACTCGCCAATGTGTGGGCGCATTAGCGGCGCGGGGTAAGGGTGCTGTTGACAATGCTTCACTCGCGCTTGGGGCCGTCGCGGCTGTTCCAATGTGTGCATTCACCGGCCGCCAACCACCGCCCTGACAAGCGAAGGCGAACGAGGAAAAAGCCTGTCTCGGTGGAGTTGGCATAGCTAAAATGAATGCAGGTGTACGGAACATTAAGAAGACATTTGGGGTATCATCCGAAGGTAAATGGGTGATATTTTACGCCAAGTACTACGCGCACATCCGCAAGTATGCAATCAGTGTGAATGGATACACGGTCCTTTGAGCGAAGCCGAATGCTTGGTCTCATGCTCACGCCAAAGGCCACTTACCTCTCCGTTCTTGCTCTCGTCTCTGTCCATCGCCTGCTCCTGTTTTCCACGGGCCCCAGCCGGACGTCACTCTCTCCGAACTCCTGATCGGGGTGCACCATCCGAGTCGGCGCCGAGCAGGAGTAGGGGCACAGTTCAGCACTCAGCCGCTGCAGTGTGGTCGCGGACTCTCGATGGACACTGAATCCGGGTCATTGCCTTCCTGTCCGTTGATGGTGGTTGGTCCGCACGCTGGTCCCGGACGACCTGGGAGGAGGCCGGATCGTTCCGGACCTCACTCACCGCACGACGTGGTTCTAAGCGGAGAAAGATGCAGCGGCAAGCGCTTCTCCACCTGCCGTGTCTGAAGCTCGCCGCTCCCTGCCGGACTCAGCACGCTCCTGTTCACCCGGACGTGGCGTCGCTGTCTCCCCGGCGCGTGCGGGAAGTCCAGCGGCTCTGCCAACGTGCCGGTCCGAGCCCAGCCGCGTCCCCAGACCTCGGCGGTTCCCCTCTTCTAGAGGCCAGCTGACGGCCGGTCGGGCGCGGGAAGTCCAGCCGCGTCCCCAGAACGCGTCGGTTCCCCTCTTCTAGAGGCCAGCTGACGGCCGGTCGGGCGCGGGAAGTCCAGCCGCGTCCCCAGAACGCGTCGGTTCCCCTCTTCTAGAGGCCAGCTGACGGCCGGTCGGGCGCGGGAAGTCCAGCCGCGTCCCCAGAACGCGTCGGCTCCCCTCTTCTAGAGGCCAGCTGACGGCCGGTCGGGCGCGGGAAGTCCAGCCGCGTCCCCAGAACGCGTTGGCTCCCCTCTTCTAGAGGCCAGCTGACGGCCGGTCGGGCGCGGGAAGTCCAGCCGCGTCCCCAGAACGCGTCGGTTCCCCTCTTCTAGAGGCCAGCTGACGGCCGGCCAGTCCGAGCCCAGCCGCGTCCTGAGACCGTGTCGGTTCCCCTCTTCTAGAGGCCAGCTGACGGCCGACCGGGCGCTAGCACAGGGCCGCCGTCCTCAGATGTGACCGGGTGTTGGCGCGCTTCGCCATCCAGTCCCAGCTCCCACGGTGGCCTGAGAACGAAGTGCCGTCCTGCTTCACGCTTCTCTTCCTTCCACTGCTCCACTTCTCTCCCATCCAGCGCTTTCCCCGTCCGAAGCCGGCCAAGCAGCGCGAGCCGCGTTGACCAGCCGGCGACTGCGGCGAACCGCGCTGCCCCGCGGCCGCCTCGCGCGAGCTCCGGGGAGCCTGCGGAGCCAGCCTCCAGCGCACCGTCGCTAAGGCTTACGTAGCTGGCGCGGCTGGGTGCAGGGGGAGCTAGCCTGTAGCAGGTGGCGCTCGCTCGGCGGACGGCTCGGCGTCACCCGACCTGACTTACACTGCTGGCGGGGCACACCTGGCCCGCCCGACCTTAGCATGGTCGATCATCGTCATGACAACGCGGATAACACGACAGAAACAGCTGGCTGCCCGCTGCGGGTGTAGCTGTCCCCTCCCCACACCCGCCGGCCGTCTGCTGCACGACGCGATGGGGGGCGGAAGCGGACCACAAGCGGCGTGTCAGCTGACCTTGCTGTAACGCTCGTGCGGTGGCGAAACCGATCGATCCGCCCACTGAATTAGATCCGGCGATCAATGTGTGCATGGCAGTGCACTGCCGTGTCACGACATGGTCCGCCATTGAGTCGGATTGGACGGTGTGATTGATGGCCAATGGCCGGTATGACCTTGGTTATGGATACGGATCGCTGATTTCTGTGGTCGGGTTTCAATCCCATCTTGGAACGATTCACCACAACGAAATGAGTATGTTTACTAGGTGCCAATTTGTTTACTAAGTGCAATTTAGGTTTATTAGATGCAAGCTTACGTTATGCTCTTTCGATTAAAGCGTCACTTTTACTTCCACCTCAAGATTGTCCTGTACGCTGTGAAGTCTGCAACTCGCTGGTCTAAACAAACAAATGTACCGGTGAGGTCGCCTGACGGAACTTCGTAATGGGCAACCTATTAGTCCGCCGTGTTGTGGCCGAATGCAATGCGAAATAGCAATATTTCAAGGCACTTTGGGTTGAAAATTGCTTCGGTGATTTACTTAATTAGAAAACTGATATTGAGTGCGAGTCTTCCACATATTATATGAAAAGCAATTGCCATTTCGAGGGCGTGTATCGATCACTTAGAGCTACATTTTGGTAGTTTTGTCATCCCCCAGCGTGGTAGGAGTGACCTTATGGGCCCTCGTCAGCTAACAGTCAAATTTTCATGGCAAAACTTAAAAAAGCGAGGTGGCATTACCTCCAGAATAATATTTCCTGCCAAGAAAGCAGACTGAGTGGGTCTTTCTTGAATCGTAATAAAACGCCTAGATTAAGCAGTACGACCGGCGACATGAACAGCTTACCGCACTCTCTTTCGGTTAACATGTGAAAAGTGATGTATGTTCATTTTAAAAGGGGGCGACGCGGGCGCGTAAAAAACAGGTTCAGATGTTGGCGATCCGTGGTCGCAGCGACACGAAGCGACCTAGCACGTCTGATGGTGGGGAGGAGTCGGATCGGTAATATTCCTGATCGATATCAGCGGTCGGTCACGCGTGGTTGGACGCAAACATCAGTCCGCCATTGTTTAAAGAATTGGGGTCGGACAGCAGGAACTAGAGCAGATAAGGCTTGGAACCAATTACGTCGCATGGTTGAACTGCTCGCGTCGCATATATAAATATATGTATACACACGCACACACACACACACACACACACACACACACATATATATATATATATATATATATATATATATACGTAAATTCTCCGTTTTAAGTCGGTTCTCCGTCTGAAAATCACCGAAGGCTCTCAACGCTCTCCGTCCCCTAGGAAGGCCAGTACTCCAGCGCGAGGCGGGTCAGTGTCACCATGCCTCGAAGCCCGTCACCGATGCTCCACGCGGTGGCCCAAACGACGATAACGACGAGGGATATCACCCGTCGGGAAGCGGCTGGCGGATTAGAAGTAAGTTCGCCTTAGAGGAGTGCATCGGCACCCCTACTGCTCCACCGACAACCATCAGGCTCAGTAAGTGGCTGGCATGGGTGGGGGCTTACGCTTGCCCGGTGCTCCTACATTTGACACTGGCGGGGGTTAAGCGTGGATAATGGTGTTACCGGTCTCGAGAAAAAGGATAATGCTTGGAACAAGAAATGAATGCTTAAAATCTTGGCGGTCTTTTTGCTACCCACGCAAACATTGACATTGACATCGTACCCCCACATGACATGAAACATATGCACTGACTCATCATTTATCCGCAGTAAGTTGACATCTGAATGCAAGCACCGTTTCGATTCCCTCGTTTTTTGCGGGTGAGTCTAAACCCCCTCTTTATGTCAATTTCCGGTATTCGACAACACGGGCTGAATATTATGCTGTCCTGGAAGATGGGAGGGCCATGCCAACTGGCCCCTCCCCGCTCTGGCGTCTATGAGTCGGTCCGCGCTACACGGGGTGGATGGGTTGGCCAAAGTCATGGCGGACCCATTACCCGTTTGGGAAACGAGGTCCAAATTGGGTGCACACTGCACTCAAATGGAGCAAACTTGCGCAGATTTAGGAACTTCCAGAGTCCTTGTACTGGTAGGGGCCACCGTCCCACTGACCCTCCCTGGATCCAGTCTCTCCAATGACCACGTCTGTCTGAGGACGGGACAAGGAACCGTACATATCTTGCCTTCCCGATGGCGCCGCCCAGTGGTATAAATAGCGAGGCTTTCACTTTGGCGCTACAAATGCCCGTTGTCTTTGGTAACAGAGCCTTTTTAAACGTGGGAAACCATTTTGATGTTTCGTGGCCCGCGGAGCTATTTGTGATGTCTCAAAACCCCTACGAGTTTGTTCAGCGTGCCAGAAGTTTCCTGGGGCTCCAGTCCCAGGGGGCCCCACCACTTACAGGCGGGCCACGTCCTAAAGATTCCGCATGGTTACGTCTTTAGCGCTGTTGCTCTTCTTCCTCAAAGGCCAGAATCATAGTAATCTGTGCCGTAATGTCAATTTGACATAAATGAATACTGGATCCGATATAATAGACCCCAACCATCACCAAGCCTCGTGGAGGACAATAAGCATAGACGCCAAGACGTCGTTGTATACTTATGCATGACCACGATATTTTTTTAGGGCCCACCGATGGACCACATAGTTCATCCTCTTTGCCTCCAGAACAGTTCAGGTTATTTTGTATTTTATGGTCATGCTACCAAATCCGTCTCGAACCCTGCAACCAATTTTCGTTCCATAGTTGACGCAACAGATATCAAAGCAACGCAGAAGCCCCTGCGCGTTGTGCTCTCACCTTCGCACTTCATTGGAGCCGGACCCGGTGTGCTGTGGTTGGTACTCATCCATTTATCGACCTTTTTATTTTTTGACAGTGGGTAGTATTGGTGTTCACTTCTTAACAACAATGTATGCTGCTCGTATGCAATGTATGCTAAATACGGTTTTGGACAAGTAGGAACCTTGCATTTTCTGTCCGTAGTATTTTTGATTATCCATGCGACGATGGGGCAATGTTTACACCTGTTCTTGCACAGTTCACGCGCAAGTTGTGTTAACCATATTTGTGCAATGTGGTATAGACGTGATTAAATTCACACCCTTAAAATGTTGTGCAATTTGGTCCGCAGCTTGGTTGTAACATGGTCAAGCACCTAAAATCAGTACAACCATAAATGTTACCGTAAGTTCATAAGTCCATTGGGATGGTCAGCAC